GCTGGCCAGAAGTGTGAGTGGAGGGGGTCATCACAGAAAGGCCCTGGTGTGCTGGTGGAGTTGCTTCATTAAGATTCAATACTGAGGCTTGAATTGTGAGAATGAAAAGACACAAAATAATTGGCAAAGTCAATGAATGCAGGAAGTAGTGGGAAAGGAAGCTAATGGGGCTTCCTGCAAGGTTGTGAAGCTGAGAATGAGAAATGTTATATTAATGAAGTTGATGGTGAAAAGAAAGTGCTCAAAAAAGGAAAAAACAAATGATACCCAGTTTAGCAAGTGTGGGTGGCAGGAAGAACAGTGACACCAGTAGTCACAGATAAAATAAGTGAGGGGACAGGAATGTTAAGAAAGATGCTGAGTTCAAACACTACTGCACTGCGACTATGCAGTTGTGTAAAAACCAGTCAGTGAAAGGATCTTCTTGTATGTCAAGGAGAGATAACTGTCTTCATTCATAAACTTCAGAGGTTTTGGGAAAAAGTTTCCCTATTGCTTACACATGCAAGATGGAGTTATATAGAAGACACAGATGAATCTGAGATAGGTCAAAGAAAATGGAGCATGAGTAAATATTACATTATATTGTATTGAAGAATAGAGTAGAATAGAGCAGAGTAAAATAGGTTAGAATAGACAATTTTGGTTGGAAGGTACCTTCAGTGTTCATCTAGTCCAGCTGCCTGACCACTTCAGGGCAGACCAAGAGTTAAGGCATGCTGACAGGCCTGGGGCACTGGCTACCTCCCCAGGAACCCTGTTCCAGTGTTTGACCACTTTCTTGGTACAGAAGTGCTTCCTAATATCCACTCTGTTCCTACTGTGAGGCAGCTTTGAACCACTCCCACGCACCCTACCACTGGATCCCAGGGAGAGGAGCTCAGCACCTCCCTCACCCCTTCTCCTCTTCAGGAAGCTGTTAGGGAGCAACGAGGTTGCCCCTCAGCCACTTCTCCAAACTGGACAAACACAGAGCCCTCAGCCTCTCATCACAGGACATGCCCTCCAGCCCTTCCATCAGCTTTGCTGCCCTCTCCTGGATGCATTCAAGCACCCTCACATCTTTCCTCACTGGTGGGTCCCAGCACTGCACACAGAGCTCCAGCTGAGGCTGCTCCAAGGCTGAACACAGCAGGATAATCACCTGTTTTTCCTGGCTGGTCATGCTGTGTTTGTGACAGGATGGGGATTGCCCTCTTGGCAGCCAGGGCACACTGCTGGCTCCTTTTGAGCTGCTGCTGAACAGCAGCCCTGGATCCCTTTCTTCAGAGCTGATCTCCCAGTCTATACTTGTGCCTGGTGTTATTCCACCCTGGGGGCAGAATCTGGCATTTGGATTTGTTAATTTCTATCACACTGCAATGATAGTATATTATATTATATCAATATATTTTTTGCTGGACAAGATAATCAAGTATCTGGCTGATATAGACTAATTTGGTATGATAATTCTCTTGGGATATAGAAGAAAATTTTAAAATTAATTTAACTGATTTTTCATTGAAATTACTTATAATTTTGCAAGTTTATTAAGTAATCCAAACTTTCAAGTTTGCTATTTTGAATGATTGCATAAAGGTCTAGGTGTTTAATGGTCAAATGTTGATTTAATTTGAAATTAAAGAGGAAATGTAGAAACATTTGCTCCTTGTAAAATTATACAGATTTCTCCCTCATTTGTTGAGGATATGATCTGCCGAGCTTCATGGTCTACAAATAACATCACATGACTACAGAATAATAATCCAGTGGAAAATCTCTTAAGAGGTAAGAACACATGTTCTTTGTCCCAAAATCTCCCTCATCATTATCCCAGGTATAAAATATGACAGATAAAAAAAAAGATTTTTAAAGTAAATTGGGAAAAAAAGAGAGGATTTTCCAAATTTTCATCAGAAGGCCTGGCTGTACATGTCACTGTTAGGCATGCTGCACCCTTTCGGTTTCTGAGGACGTGTTTTCTTTGGACGTGGCTGACAGTTTTGTGTGCTGAAAAACACCGGAGGTGCTCCTCCTTTGTCTGTATCTGTCTTGCATGGGATTAATTTTGTGTACTCCACAATGGAAACCATAAGGACTCCAAAAATGAATGAAATCACTACAACACATTCTTCTCTGTCACCCTTTCCCCTGAACTCTGCTTTCCCATGCTAGGCTCTGCATGAGAGCTGCCCTTTATCGCCTCCAGAAAGAGCTGTGCTGTAACCTGCCTCACTTCTGAGGAAAACCCCACTGAGCTGTAGTTGGGTGGCTGCCTGAGGATGAGCTTTAGAACTTAATTTTCGACAGGATTTTGATTAACCAGGTGAGAGGGGTGATTTCAGCAAAGAGATAGAGATCACATTGCTAACAAGACCACTCAGCATGCACAGAGAATGTTTGCATGACCAGAACAATTTGACCCTCTTAAAGGGTGGGAAAAAAGACTTTATGTGAGTTGATCGTTGTCTTAGGAAGGAGTTTAATTGGCAAATGTATAAATAAATAAATAAATAAATAAATAAATAAATAAATAAATAAAAGATAAAAGATGTGCATAGTGTAGCAATATTCCTTACTAACCTACATAATTTATATAGATACATAGTTTCAAGCACACTTAAATAATGGAAATATTTTGAAATCTACCCAAAACAAGATACTGTATGTTTGTGCTCAACATCTTTATTTGCTATTACAGAGAGATGATGGTCTCTAGTGAACTCTGTATAGGACTACAGCAAAGTAGTAATTGCTACTATTAACTTTTTAAAACATATTGCACATTAGGGAAGTGTTTTGTCAATTTTAAACTCAGGAGCACCCAGCAGAGCAGGAGCACCCAGCAGAGCAGGGACACCCAGCATAGCAGGAGCACCCAGCAGAGCAGGAGCCTGCAATGGTGCTGCACAGCAAGCTCAGGACTCGGGACTGCCACAGCAGAGCATGATGAGAGGGAATCCAATGAGTCAAGCCTCACATGCAGTGGATGCAACTGGGCAGGTCTTAAATTATTGATTCACTGTGATGTGTTTTCACTGCTTGTAAAATAAAGTGGAAGTACCTTCTTCCAGAGGGAATGAATCCACTGCTGTTTATCTGCCCCTTCAGAAGTATAAAGTACTATACAAACATGTTGCCAGAATGGCAGGAGGAAATTTGTGATTGTGACTCCTTGATTGCTGTGTATTCTTGTCACTACCATTTCATAATGGTTTGGAATCAAGGTTATTGATAGGATGGTCAGTGCCAGACTCCTTTGGCACAAAGCTCTCCAAGTCAGGGCCCTATTATCTTATTTCCTCACAATATTTGCAGCTGTAGCAAGGAGACCTCTGTGGAGACTTTGAACTAGTAAAACAAACAAAAAACCATGGTTTGTAATTTAATCCACACAGATTATTATGTATTAAATATTCATGAATATGTATATGTTCTCCCATACTTCAACCTACAGAATTTTACTTATTTGGCATAATTCTATACTTCCGTGTAATTTGATCCTTACAGAACATCTTTCTATATACTGAGCCAAGTTTTTTCTTTTTCATTTTATGAATATAAAGGAATCCTACATGAGCTGTATTTTTTTTAATTGTTTAGTCTTCTATTGAGCAATTCCCTTCCTGATGATTTGCTGAGAACGTGACAGAAAAAGAGAAGTTTCAGTCAGATCTTCCAAAACAAGACAGAACACGCCCAGAGGTAAAGTGCATGCACAAGTAGAATTTGAAACACGTTCTGAAACATACGTTAGGCATAATTTCATATTCTATATGAGAAATGCAAATTTATATAAAATCTTGGCTGCTTGTGCTTCAGTTGCACAGAGCTCTTGTAAGAGTTCATGGAGATTTCATTAGCTCTGTCTTAGGTCTGTATTTTAGATTACACATACCCAGAAATCCATTAAATGGAAAGTTTCATTATATAGACAGTTTAGAAGTCTGGCACATTTTGTTCAAAACACTCCTAAAATCTTAATTTATTAATTTGACGATAATAATATTTATAAATAGAGATGTATAGTCAAAATTGGCATATGGCACCAATCTACTCTCTAAGTACCTCTGACCTTCAAATGAGAGTACACATAGCCCTAAATTTCCAATGTCTCACCTGCTGTCTGATCTTAGGTGTGCTGAAGATCCCCCTAATGTCATTTAATTTGACGAGGTAAGCAAACCTAAAAGCTATATGCAAGCAGTTTCAATCACCCTTCCACAGAGTAAAACTCTGATCTGGGCAATCATTAATAGTTTTAATGATTCTCATGATAACAGGCAGGGCTTTTGAGAGCTCAAGTTTAAAGTTTACACAATAGTTCCTTTTTTGTTGCTGTTTCTTCACGTAAATTTCTTGTCATTGTGACTATAGTAAAAACCTTTAGAACATTGACAGAATGTACCTTAAAAGCTCCAAATTCTCCAAGAATTATAAAAGTGGGAGCATAACCTAAATGGTGTTTTGTAAAGATGAAGCAGTGCAACTTTGTAAGGGAGCTTCTGACTTAGATGCAGTCTGTAGTCTCATTTTAAAGTGATCAGTGTCTTCCATTTAGTGAATGTAAGCAAGAGCTATAGGTAAGTGGAAAATGAGACATGACTGGAATAAAAAAATCACAGAAAAATTTTGATGCTAATTCTCTGAAGCAATTCCCAGTTTATAGATGTGTTTAAAAATGTTTTTCTTGTATTCTACTGCCAAAATAAAGTATCTGTGTTTATAAATCTCTCTGGCCAACCACACTTTGGTAATGAAAAAATGCAACCATGGAAGCAACAACTTCAACATTTTGTGCTGTGGAAAACCAAAGGCAGTTTCCACTGTTGGGAGACTGACATCCTTCTGTTCTGAAACTCTTCACGTGCATTTTGTGGTGTCTGATATACAGTGTCAATTCAACCAAAAAACAACATTTCTATTACTAAATCTCAGATTGCATATTCTAAAAAAATCATCTCATACCTTGGTTTTATGGGTTATATGCAATGTTAAACTGCAAAGTTTCAAATTACAAGTTTATTTGTTTCTGTGCCTTGGGAAGTATTTACTTAAAACAGTAAGCTCATAGAACTGCAAAGAGGAAGAGGTAATATACACAAAGAACAAATGAAGACACAGTGCATTTTTTGTCATACATTTTGAAGAGTTTGTTCTTTCTTTTCATATAATTACAAAATTATCTCGCATTGGGAGGGACAAAAATAAGGAAAAATTGTGTTGCAGTGACTGGTATAACCACTGTTATGCAACTGATCATTTACTTGGCTTGTAGCAATGCCAAGAGCAAAACTTCTGGTTATGATTCCACTTGTACTTTGAAGTGAAATTGCAATCTCTAGTTTGGAGGCTGCTTCTCTGGAGGACACCATATCCCCAGTACATCTACAGATGAACATTTGCCTCCAGTCCTTAACACTGTGTCTAATTACCATCTATATTTGTCAAACGTGTACTTTGGAGCCCTCCACAGCAATAATTTTGTAAACCACTTAAAAATCACATTTGTGAGTGGCAGTACAACAGAAAATAGCAATGTTTGGTATCAACAAATTGCTCCTCTGGTGCATAATGACTAGAAGCTTCTAGAAAAGTGGTTGCTTCTTCCTCAGTTGTAGTTAATGTACAAAGACTATTTGTTTATTTTTTTCTCTGAAATACATAGTTTTGAGAAAATACCGGTTGTTGTTCAGACAGTAATTTGTACTGGCAAGACCTGTTTATATTACAGAATAATTTGAGAGTAGAGGGTGTAAAAGAACGAGATAAATATGGATGAAGTTATTCCAGACTGTGGGATTTACCTTCTGACACATCTTGTAGAAGATGCAGGTTTCCTTGTTCTGCACAAATCAGCCAACCACCTGAGAGTCCACGCATTGAGCTCATGTCCTCTTGTCCTTTGGGTTTATTTCCTGAAGAGCAAGCACTCTGCTGAGCAGGTTTCAAATCCTACCCAGGGTCTGCAGTAGAAAAAGCAGAGTCAATAAAAGTAAAGCAGGATCTGAGGAAAAGTAGCATCTGTGCTTTAAAGGTGTTTTTGAGTAAGCCTACCTGCTAAAGCTTATGCATATGGAAGTTAAGCATTTAAGTCACAGCCACTCCCAGTTCCCTTTGCAGTCTGTGCAGATACCCAGGCACCAGTAGAGGGTGGTTAAGCTCCTCACTGGACAAGCCTCTGAGTTAAATCCAGTGAATTGTGTTCCACAGGTGTTTGCATCCCTCCCCACCAATACTGGGAGGCCAGACACCTATGCACAGACACCTGCTCTTAGTGCTACCCTGGATATCTGCAAAGCTAGGGGTGTAAATCTCAGCTGGTTGCTCTACTGTCTCTTTATAGTCCATGAACCTGAAGTTCAGGCAGTAAAGCCCAGAAGGAAAACTGCTGATGAGCCAGACTAAGGAAACTGATAGAAAATATACAAGCGTGACACAGGGTCAAAACTGTAAAAATTTGTGTTGCTGCTCCAGATCACGTAGGGTGCAGGGAGTAAGAGGTGAGGCAGCACAGAGCTGAAATGCAAGAGAGACGCCTGGCAGAGATCAGTGAGGTGAGGCAGTACTGAAGCAGAGTAATAAAATAAAATCAATAGCTTCTTGGATTACACAGTTGTGAAGAAACCAGGCAGGATAGACTCTGTCCTTCCTATAGGCAAGCAGTCTTAGATACTGAGGAGCATTGCTAGGGGAAAAGTTTTTTTAACGTAAGATCTTTATTTCTTGTAATTGTGCCAGCATATAAAAAGACAGTGGAATAAGGCAAATAAACAAATAAAAATAGAAATATAAACTTGCAGTTCATTTTGCTTTTAAAACTAGACTATAAACTGAATGGTTATGGAGCCTTACACTGAGTGATAGATGTGTCACTGATAGATAGGCTCCACTGAGCCTCTTTACCTCCAGGCACCTAAAAGTTTGGTGTTGCATATAAAATTCTCTCTTTGTTTATAATCCAAGAAGCTATTGATTTTATTTTCTCTTTGTTTATCAAATACAAATATCTATATAATACACAAATCCCCATAAAGGCAATTTATTCTCTCCCATGTGTTATTTCTTTCAGAAGAAAAATAATCTTGAAATAATTCCTGTATAGCATTAAAATACCTGAGGAAAACAGGTTAATAAATCAATAAATATATTTTCAGTTGTTGTAGCATCTTTTAAGCCCAAATGCAAATTTTGTACACTTATTAATCCCCTATATGTAAAGACTGTGACACTTTGCTGTAGGTTGAGAGCAAAAGAGAGAAACAATAGAATAACAGTGGACTAATGTGTTGGTAATGAATGGATGCAAGACTGATCTGCCCTTTGTTTTATTTGAAAAGATCAGAGCAATGAACAATTCAGCCACTCTTAGCGTGGCACTGCTCTGCCTGAGAGAACATGGGTCAATGTATTTCAGCACAACATTCCTCCACGGGTTACGAAGGCGCTGAAAAATTCAAGTTAAATATAAATTATATTACAAATATAAAATATATTGCAGTTTAAAAGCAAAGTGGATTTCACAAGTGAGATTCAGTGGCAGCAAGCATTCCCCTTTATGAACAGGACTGTTTGCTTGTCTATCCACTCTAATATCTTCCAAACAAATGGCTAAGGGTGTGAGAGCATTGGTTCTGATGTTGTTCATGTGGCCCGTTGTCCCTCTAGTTCACAAATCTCACCTCTGACAGCGATTGCCACCTGACCTTTGCAGGAATGAAAGAAACCCACAGCAGGTAGGTATGGAATAACCTGCTTTCCATAGAAAGTGGCTCATAACTAGAATTTGCCTTCACTCCTGGCTCATAATGTTCATTCGCTTTTCCAACCTTTTCACATTTAATTTTGATAACCATTCTGCTAAATATCTCATCTTGATCTGACTCTTCTTTAGCTTCAGAGCAATTTCTTAAGGGCTTGCACAGGACAAATTTCATACCCTGCATCTTGTTTTATAACAATTCTCCCAGCAACAGCGTAGAAAAAAAGGGGTGAGGACATCAAGAGAACACAGGAAATGGAGCCAAGATACAATGCCCAGAACCTCATACTTGGTTGCAATAAATATTGACAGTTTTCTGCCCCTGCCTGTGAGACTGGGAGAGTTCCTTCTGTCAGCTGCTTGTCCAGGTCTCCTGCATAAGGCTATCCAAAATTTAGGAAGGAAACCAGGTTCTTTCTTTAATATGCTTTAAAAATATACTAAAAATTATTACAATTATAATCTAAAGTATTAAAACATCACGGATATTAACTTTAGCAGAACACATGCTAATATTAGAACCTATATGCAATGGTCATTCCTTACCTGTAACAGCTGGGTATCAGCTTCACTGGGTCATTTGGAATTTAGTGCCAAGGCAAGACTTCTTTCCACGTGCTACTGCTCTATTCACCCCCTGGTACAGCCAGCACTGTCAGAGGCTGCCAGCAGTGAACCCTCAGTGGCAGTGAAGCAGCACATCAGGCTGTGCCTTGTGCAGCCAGCTGCCTCTGACAATTCAGATTGTTTCCACTTTGACACAAAATGCTGCTGTTCAGGAAGGAGCTCAGGGTGTTCTACTGCCCGAGACACTGCAAAGCAGTGGCTTGTGGTCATTGCTGATCTATTTCACATTTGTATCTGGTTTTCTAGGGGTGAAGAAGTTTCTCTTTATGAACAAATTCTTTGCCTCCTCTCATATCCAATTTGATATTAGGTTGAATACAATACTAGAAACAGTTGGCTGGAGTAACTCATCATTATTTACCTGCACAGGAGTCAGTCATGCAGGCATAACATGCATATTCCAATTCTTTGCTGTGAGCGGCCAATTACTATAAAAGTTCTCTACTTTTTAACTCTTATCCTTAGGGAATTATTTTCCTTTTGCTAAAGGAAAGAGGAATCAAGATTTCAAAATTTTGATCTTTATTAATCCATACAGAAATAAAGTGTTTAATCAAAAACAAAACCACCACAACATAAAACATGTTAAAAATGTCATTTGATTTAATGGTGGATTTAGCATCTCACAGTCACTTGCACGTTTGGAGATTATTATATCTCTGTAGTTATTATGAACTGTCTATAGCTTTTTCTTCCCATTTCTGAATGAAATATTAGTGCAAGCTATCATAATGATCTCACACACCACCTGTTTCTGCCCATTTTCTCATCTCTCTGTGATCATAGATTTCCTTATTTTACATAGATTTATATGGCCTGTACAAACAATTAATCTTGTAGGCAATAGAACTTTGATGATCTCACTGAAACAGTGGAAGTCGCCTGAAATTTAAACAGACAGTAATTAAATATTCATTGCCACTCTCAGAATGAATTAATCCAGCAGTTAAATCTGCACAGCAGCTATTCATCAAGAAACATCTAAATGTGGATTCTAATCTATTCTGAGTATTAGCAATTTTTTTAATTTGAGGGGATATGCACATGTGACCTTGTTCACGAAAGAGTTAATTCACTGGTTTAGACCCTCAAGCTTCCAGACAGTGAGTATACAAATAATTTTACAGTAAGATATTGGATTTTTTGGCACCTCACACCTGTTTATTTCCTTCTTTGAAACTATCTAGGTGATAAAATCAGTTAATTATTGGCATCCTAACTTGTATTCCTAGAACTCATGTGATTTTTAAAATTGAATTTTCATAAAAGAGTTTAGGCTATGAAATTTTACAGTTATGGACAGGGCCATCACATTATCACGGTGCATAATCATATTTGCTTTTGTATAACAAGGCAGCTTCAAACAGCAACCTAATTATCAAGAAATTAGGGAATGGAGATTGAAAATTGCACTGAAGGTTTCAACACAAGTTGTCATGGTTACTTCTGGAAAAATAGGGGACCAGCAAGTAGCAACTGGACGGGGGAAAGCCTCCAAAAAGCAGCTACGGGCCCTTCTAAAGTAATGGATCAGGCACAGCCAGGCGGAGTATGTTAACAGGGTAGTTAGTGTGGGTGGAAGACTTCTAGAGCAGAAAGTGAGAGAGCCAAAGAAAGTAAGAAGCTGATGTAAAGGAAAAAACAAGGAAAACAGAGAAATCTGTGATGTCAAACTGCCTGAAAACCTCTGGGGGGATGTAACAAAGCTTTTGTTCATGACCTCTTTCACTGAATGTGTAAAAAGGCTGAACAACAGCTTGGGCTGCCTTTTCAGTGGTATTTAATTCTCATCTCCTGTGACTAATTAGCTTTGCTCTTTAGAAGTAAACAGGATCAAGGGGCAATGTGGATAATGGTGACAGCGATAAAGCATGAGGGAGCAGCAGCCTCAGACACAGCGAAACAGTATCAAGATGGGGTCACTGTAGGTCATCTCATCCATTTTACCCCACAAAGTGGTGGATGTCTCCAAGGCCCGAACCCAGCTTGTTGTAAGGCTTTGAGACCTTTATCTTTCTTTCCTGTTTCAAAGGAAGGCAATGGTACAATGTCCTTGGTGTGATAGCCCACCCCAGAACTCAGCAGGCAGATGCAGGAGCTGGGCAGAGGTGCTCTATGGCATCCCCGTGCTCAGCTGGCTGCAGAGCTGGGCAGGAGCTGCTCGCTCCTCACAGCACATCAGCCACCCCACGTCCTGCTCAGCATTTTCATACACCCAAAAATCAAACTTACACCTCACAGCACATCAGCCACCCCATGCCCTGCTCAGCATTTTCACAGACCCAAAAATCAAACTTACACCTCACACCACATCAGCCACCCCAGGCCCTGCTCAGCATTTTCATAGACCCAAAAATCAATCTGACATACCTGGAAGTATGTCTAAGTACCCCCTGATGACAGTCACAGCTTTACACTGATGTTGGAGACCCTCTGTACAGCAGAAATTACCAGAGCAAATTTTGGACCATCTAGTCCTTTTTTAGGAGAGATAAAATAGAAACCAGCTAATTTGGCTCAATAAATGTAAGCTATATATGTTGCTTTCCTCTGACATTCCTGACCCTCTTTTGGAATATTTCTCTTCTTCGATAATCCCCCCTGACACATTTTAATGCAGTTTACTAACTGAAACAGTTCAGTGCTCTCACCTTACCCCATTTATGAACACAATCTTTTTTTTAATCTCAAAGGATGTACTGATATTTATCTTTTCCAAGTAGAACACAAATACAGGAGAATAAAGAGCAAAATTTTCTATTATATTTAGTGAAAAGCTCCAGGACTCATTTGAAGTAATGTTGTGAACAATATATTATAATGGTGGGAGGAATTACAGTAAATACCTATATTTGGCTCTTCAAAGTCAAAAGAAGAGCTAAGAGATTGTCTAAGCAGAACTAAGAGCTTGACTAAGATAAAACTTCACTTAATTATTATATGAAGCAGATCCCATCCTGAAGAAAATTACCCTTCAGAAAATATTTTCACTGCTAAAATAAAACTCTAATTCTGACTTGGTTTTGGCTTAAAGGTTTGCCACACTTCAATATACATGGATGGCAGTGACTGTACTGTATAAATTTATTGTGTGCTGAAAATGTTGTTTTATAAAGCAAGTGTTTTAGAGACTATGTTTATGTTAAACTCACAAAGTTCTAATTAATAAAGTGAATAAATTGATCTTTGAAGTCTCTTATTAACCAGAATTTTTTTAAACCTTACTAATTTTCTCATTATTTTTTAAACTATGTGCAATTTATCCTATACTGAGGACACTGTAGCTAAATACAATATTCTGAAAGCATTTACCCTAAAAGGCAGACTAGACAGAATATGTGTAACTTCACATCTTGTATTTGATAACTCCATGCTTATAATTCAAATAAACTCACTATCCCTTTCAGGCAGTGTTCCAGAGGGAGCTTACTTCAGTGATTGTCCACCACGATCTTCAGCTTGTTCAAAACTCACATTGTGCCTTCCACTTCCAGAAAGTTAGACATGGAATAATTTACAAAAGAAAGATGAAGAGCAGAAAAGATCTTGACACTGTGTAAGTACTGTTCTGCAGTAACTAAACATCCCTGTGTTATCAACAGTTTTCAGCACAAATCCCAAACACAGCCCCATACCAGTTACTATAAAGAACTTTAACTCTGTCCCAGATAAAGCCAGTAGAGTCTAAGCCAAATATTGTCTTCCAATAATTTATCAGTGTTTATACATATTCTAATGCATATAATTGTACAAAAGATCTACAAGGAGGGAACTGGTGATGGTGAGAAAGATGCTCTGGCTGACTTGATCTCCTTTAAGTTCTTCAGCTGGGAGAGCAACTTTTTACACAGGCACATCATGATAGGAAAAGGGGCAATAGTTTTAAACTTTTAAAAGAAGGAAGATTTAGATTAGATATCAGGATACAGCTCTTTTCTTGGAGGGTGGTGGAGCACTGGAACAGGCTGCCCAGAGAAATTATTGATGCCCCATCCCCGGAAGTGTTCAATACCAGGTTGGATAGGGCCTTGAGCAGCCTGGTCTAGGGAATGACATCCCTGCCCATGACATGGGAGTTGGAACAAGATGTCTTTCAGGTCCCATCAAGCCAAGATATTATGTGATTCTATGATTATTATTTTAAGACTGCTGCAAATTCTTCTTTTATTCCTAAATGATAAGATCTTACTCAGTTTTTGCACTATTGCAATAAATAACGGTCATTTAACCTCCTAAACTTGTCTTACATTAATATTTTAGACTGCAGATAGAATTTTTAATTTTAGCAAATAGTCAATACATTTCAGGGCTCCTTTTTTGAGTGAGCATTTGTGTTTCATACTCTGTGAATTCTTCCACCTGCCAGCACACAAAGGACTATAGGGTCAGCCCCTAACTGGGCTAGCAGGACCAGAGAAGCCACTTGTTTTTCAAAGAAGCCACTTGTTTTTCACAAATGTGAGGCAAAATAAAAGTAGCTTGTACTCTCTGGGGATATTTATCTGCAAGTTACCCAGAAATTTTGACCTGCATAGGTAAGAATATAGTACTTTATATAAAAATATAGTACTCAACCAGTAAAACACAAACTGTGTGTAGTTGCAATTTATGTTATTGATTATCAACCTTTAAATCTTGGTCTTACCTTAGCCAACAATATTCACCTTTACAATGGGCAGAGAAATCATCTTTAATAGAAAGTTCCTTCATTAATATTCCATTACGCGACCACATAAGAATATAATTATTAAATGTACACCCATTATTTATATAGGATGAGGGCTGCAAAGTATTTCCTGGCAATAACCACAAAAAGACTTGTCTCTTAGCTCTGCAGTCCCTAGAAGATCTTGGAGAATTCTCTTAAAGATGGTTGGCATTTTTCTGCTGCTTTCTACATAAACTGCCTTCCAGTTTTTAAGGCTGAACTTACCTAACTTTCTGTGTAATATTTTCAACAATTTCCTTCTAGTTCTGTCAGTTGGTGTATAAGCCATCTCTATTAATTTGGTCACTCATAATATAAATCATATTAGCAGAAAATTAGGCTGTCAGCAAAAACCCTAAGAAAATACAGGGAAACTTCTGCATTTTTCAGAATATTGTGAGAAATACAGATTTCAGCAGGTTCTCAAGCTCTGCTGGAGTGGCAGGGACTAATGAAAGTTACTGTACACCACCCACTGAACAGAGTTAAGTAGACAGTCTGATTAATTAAAGTGTCAGTTCAGTCAATGGTTTCAATTTCCCTTTTTCACAAAATAAAAGCTCAAATTAAAAAAAAATATGGAAAAAACCTATCAGGTTATTTATTTAGGTAATTTCCTGTCCTTGCAGAATAGTCTCTCCAATGTCATTTTTATTCCAATTTGTTCAATGCAGTTTAAAGGCTTGGAAAGGTGTAAACCACAGCTGATGGCCACAGAAGAATTTACTGTATGCTAATCCCTGATCTCAATCCTGACACACAAGTAATTACTTTTATTTTCATAACAGTATTGTATATTATGTACTTAAATAATACCCTTGCGCCTCTCTGTAGAGTGAATATTCCTATACAGCAAATACCTAAAGGCTATACTAGAAACTTCCTGCTCATTGTCCTTCAGTGTCTGAAAAGACCTGCAATATTTTGAGTCTTGTCAAAACACCCGAAGAATAATCCAGATGCAGTCACCTTTTGTAATATTGTAACAGCGTGACACAGGCTGCAGTGGTGGAAAAGGGATAAAGTCTCTTTTCCTACCAGAAGCCAATGTTCCTTTGCTCTGTCTCTGTAGTCTGGTGCAATCCAGCTGTGTGAATGTAAAATCATATATAATATATAATGCAATCCAAAATACATCCAATTGATGTATCAAAGGCTTGGCCTCTGGAAAGTTTGTTTTTTCCTTATTTTTCATGTAGCATTTTTTTTTAGGTATTTGTAGCCCCATTGCATTCCCTGCCTTTCCATGTGGAATCATACATTTTTACTGTAAAAGTGATCTGGCTACCAAAATATTAACAGCATTTTTGAACAGATTTATGAATATTGTTGTTACAGTTCTCTGGGATTGAAAAGTATAACTGATTTCCATATTTCCGCTAAAGAGTAGCAGAAGATTGCACTTTTTCAATTAAACAATTGGGAAGATAAGTACAATTCTGAACACCATCAAAGGCTTAGTCCAGGCCTTTACTTATTTTCTACATTTCTGCACTTTCTTTCTGCTGCTTCTGTACTTAACATGTAGTATACGTAAACACCTATAGTTTTGAATGCATAGTCTAAATAAGGCACCTCTGTTTATCATGAGATCTTTGTCTTTATACTATATGTTAACTCTGCAGCCATGGAAATGGAAAGACAATGCTGCTTTGTCAAGCAAAGTTAAACCTTTCTGTTTGCCCTCCTCCAAGAAGGCAGCAGATCTCCCTGGCTGAGGAAACCACCTGGATGGACATCAATAGGTCTGCTGCCTTTGGCGTTGAAGAGCTAGACATATAGCAGTAAATTCTGAGTGCTTTCTGAAGTCACCTTTGTATTAAACGAGCTGGGCAATATGTGAGTTCCTTGTGGTTGTGTAGGTTCTTCACAGTCTAATTACAATGTCTAACACAATTTGAATACAGTGTTTTGACAAAAGTGAACAATTGTGGCTGTATTTGTGGTATTTGAACAATGGATGGTATTTGTAGCAGCGAAGCTAAGACAGGTTTAAAACCAAACCTGATTTTAGAGCAACCTCTGTTCCGTTAAGATATAAATGCTGTCCTTAATGTGTTTGGTTTGGTTTTGGTTTTTTGTTTTCTTTTAAGTAACTGTTCCGGGTGTGTCAGGTAGAATTCCTGCCAATTAATTTAAAAGAATACAACCGCTACATGCAAGCGAGGCGTACTTAACCTAAAACTGGATGATGCAACACCACAATACTCTAAGGCAAGGGCCTGGAAAACGGGAAAGACAAGCGAAACCTCATTTGTGTTGCCCTGCTAAGCTGCTGGAGCCAGGCGCTGCAAGAAGCCCTGTGAGCTCTAGCGGGTGTGAGGGAAGGCTTTGGGAAGGGAAGGCTTTGGGAAGGGAAGGCTTTGAAAAGGGAAGGCTTTGAAAAGGGAAGGCTTTGGGAAAGGAAGGCTTTGGGAAAGGAAGGCTTTGGGAAAGGAAGGCTTTGGGAAGCAGCGCTGCCGGAGCGAGCACCCGGAGCTCCCCGGGCGCTGCCGGCCCGCTCCCCTCAGAGCGGCCGGGCGGGCGCCTGCGCGGGGCCGCCCCGCGGGCCGCTGTGCCCCGCCCTGCGGCCGCGGCTCCCCGAGCGGAGCGGAGCGGAGCGGGGCTGGGGCTGGGGCCGGGCCGGGGTGGGGCGGCGCTGCCGCCGCTGCCGCTGCTGGCGGGAGCTCGGCGGGGCGGTGCCTGGCGCGGACCGCCCGGCCCCACCGGCGGAGCAGCCGCGGGAGCGCGGCCCGGGCGACTCGGCCGCGGGCGGTTCTGGCGGCCCGAGCGCCGCGCCCTTCCCCGGCTCCATGTCGGCGTGGCTCGGCCGGGCGGCGCTGCTGCTGGGGCGGCCGGGGGGCCCCGCCGCCGTCCCCTCGTCCTGCCTGGGCTCGCTGCGGGGCCCGCGGTGCTGCTGCCGCCGCCGCCCGGGCAGCCTGCGGGGCGGCGCCGAGGGGCTGCTCCTCCCGCGGGGGTCGCGGGCGCTCGGCACCCACCCCAAGAAGGAGCCGATGGAGGCGCTGAACACAGCGCAGGGGGCCCGCGACTTCATCTATAGCCTACACTCCACCGAGCGGAGCTGCCTGCTGCGGGAGCTCCACCGCTTCGAGTCCATCGCCATCGCCCAAGGTGAGCCGCGACTGGGGGTGGGAGGGCCGGGGCTGAGCCTCTGAAGTTCGGGGGTCCTCCCGCCCTCGCCCGAGCGACTCCTTCGGGCGAGTAGGAAACTCAGCGGGAGGAGGCATCGAGAAGCGCTCGCCCCTGTCTGTTCACGTAATTGGTATAAATGAGGCACACGACCTGAAATTTAGTTTCCAGAAGCATCCGCAGCACCTTTGGAACTTAAATTTGCCCAGTGTGGCAAATCCTCGGTGGGTCTGTCATCTCACCGGGTGTTTCAGAGAGCTGCGGGTGGCCATTTTTCGGGATGGGAGTAGGAAAGTGTGTCTCATAATATCCTCCTGACACCAGGGCAGCAGTAAATTGATTTCAGACCTCTTAAGAGACGCCGGGCTGCTGCTGCTCTGGGAGCTCATTCATGAGTTACACTTCCCTGCACGGAGAGCTGCCGGCGCTGCTTCTTGGAAGTGTCGGTGTGTATGTGCTGGGAAGGTTTACAGATGTATCTCTGAATACAGGGCTATGCAACGCCAATTAAAGTAATTCACAGTGATTTTTTCTAGTCTCATCCAGCTGTTCTTGGCAGCTTGACACTGTTCCTTAAACAAATCAAAAGCTGACAAAACCAAATCCTCTTAATTACAGCCTCCTTACTTCTAGTTCTGATCCTCAGTTGTAATTTACAATCCCTATTGCAGCGAAGATGATAGCGGGTACTTAAGAGATCAGTGTGCATTTGATCTAGGCCTCTGTGTGACTTTGATAGTAGCGTGCCCTTGGAAAGGGCATTTCTGTGTCTTGTGGCTCCTCTGTAGATGTCTGGAAAAAAATTTGGGTGGGCAGAGAACAGGTCTGAGGGTCAGCTGTAAAAATGTGACTTTTGTGAAGAGACAGAACCCTTTCAGGTATCTCTTTGGTTTTGTTTGTAGCACACTTGCATATGAGCACTGGTGTTTCTAGTCAGAGTGAGAGTAGTTCACTTAAACACTTCATTTTGGAAGCAGCGCTTCTGTTTTGCGGGCAGTGAATCAGTTTTAGTTTTTTACAACGCAGAGGGTAGAATGCTTTGAACTGTCAGTAACTTTTGAATACTAACAACTAATACTCTTCCCAGATGATTCCTTCTCAGCATCTGAAGGGTTTTTGCCGTGAGGTTTTTGTGTGAGTTTCTGTCTCATTGGTTATTGCTCAGGTTAAACAGGATGGAGCTGTGTATCTGGAGGATTGTGTGGTGGATATCAAAATAAGACTTTAAAATTTCAGTGTAGTGTCTCAACTTTTATACAGATAGAAATCAACAGATGGTCGTATTTAATATCTTGTTGCTCAGATGCTGTTAGTTATAATGTGAAAGTCTACTGTGTAAAATGCTGTGACTTTCTGATGCTTCAGGATTTAGAAGCAAAGTAACAAAAGCATTTAGACATTTTACTGCATGGGAGATTATTAGTTGGTTTTAAGTTTATGCCACTAGTAGAAATTGCAATTCACTTGTGCCTGAAACTGTAATCGTTAGTCTTGCTGGAGAGATAACTTCAGCAAAATCTCAGTTGTGGGTTTAGTAGTCTCATAGGTAAGGGCTGCATAAAGCATTGTAATGCCATCAGACCTCATCCTCGGAGTCAGATTCTTGATCTGCCCATCTAGCTTGATAAGACTTTTTTTTTGTAGATAATCTTTTCCATTAGCCAGCTGTATTCATGGGGTGTTTTTACCAGACTGCAGCATGGTAACAGCTGTCAGCTTTTACCTATAAGAAATTCTGTTTCTTCATGTGTTATGAAAAAAGAAAAATCATAACTGAAAAGGGCTTCTAGTAAGTCTGATAAATAGAAATTGGAGAAAAACTCTATCTTTAATTTATTGCCCATAGCTGTTTTCTATAGAGGATTGGTATTGAAAGAATTCAGATTTTGTGTGAAGAAGGTCAGAGAGGTGTTGGATATGTATCATCACTCTTAACACTGTGAAGTACCAGAAGGTGGGTAGAAGGGCTACACTTGGAAGAAAATTAGAGACTTTTCTCAGCTAGATGTTTGTATTTTGTATTTAAAATGCTTTATTATGTTTAGAAATATTTTGCATGGTTGCTCTTTCCTGTTGTTGAAATGGTGACTGTGTAGCAATGTGTAGGTATGCAGGTTGTAAGTAGCAGATGAGGGGAGAGCTATTTGTGCCTTGCTTTCCAGGTACTTTCTCTGATTGACTTGTGTCACTTTTGATCTATACAAATCATGAGTTCAGTCAAGACAAAACTGTTTTAGAGCTGTTGGGTTTCTTATCAATCCTCTTATTCACTGGCAGCATGCTGTGGCTCTCAGCAGCTGATTCTTTAGCTGAGGTCCCTTTTTGTACTTTTGTGTTGATTTCCAATGAAAGTGATCCAAATGCAACCTTCACATTTTCTTCTTTACTGCTTGTGTAAATTCCCGTGTTCTGTTTGAATCTGAAAAATCAAGTCTCTCCTTGATCATGAAATGGCTATGCAGTTTTGCTGCTGTGCTTAAGCTTGTTTTGTGCCTGTGATCTTTTCATAATTCTTTATGGAAAGGGAGGTGTTAGTCATACCCTCTTAACACAGTCCTTATTGGGTTAAGTTTTGACCTTCTTCCTTCAATACCTCTTCTGTGCCCTAACAGACCCCATATCAGCTAGGGGAGGCTGTCAGCAATATGGGGAGACCTGGGCACATCAAGAACCAAATGGGGCAAGTTCCTCAGCCCATTCCCAGGCCTACCACCAGAAGGATGCAGTTCCACCAGCTAATTGCCCTAGCACGAAATATGACAGGACACACTATCTGTGGCCTCCGCTAATGGCAGAGGCTGCGGGGAAACCCATCCTTTGCTGCGGCTGCTACGCTGAAGGACGGTCCTCAGGTAGGTGAGCTGTAGCTGTTACCTGTAAGTTAGGTGAGTCTCTGAAGCATTTTTGAAACTTAAAACATCTGTTTGTGCTGTAGAATATGTAGTCACATATTCTACAAAAGTGTAGGTGTGGAGAGGTTTGTGAATATGTTCCTGCCTGCCATCACCTTGTCACCTGTATTACCTGCAGGTTCATGGAGCTTCCAGATACTGGGCACTAGAGGTCGGTTAAGCAGCCTAGCTTATGAATAAACACTGACTGAAATTCTGCTGTTTGTTGTAATGCTTCAGAAGACAGAACTCTGTGAGAATGTGATGGCTGAGAGCTGAAAGCCTGAGTTTAAATTCATAGATGCATTTTATATAGTAGAAGCTGGGGGGAAGACTGTGAAACTGAATCTTGATAGAATAATTCTCAGAAAATATTTTGAAAACTGTCCTGATTTAGACTGTAATCTGTATCTTACTATCTTAAAATTTCGTCAAAACATCACTGAGCTGTTCTTTCTGAAGACAGCTGCAAATCCTTTCTCATCTGTATTTAGTTTTCATTCTGCATTGAAGTCTTTAGGGTTTTTTTTTTCCCTTGTGAACCTTGGAAAGAGGAATAAAGTGTTCCATTTTCCCATGAAGAGCTTTGAAACAAAGTTTTTAAATTTTAGCTTGTGTTTCTTGTAAGCGTGTCAGCCACACCCCACCACACTAGATAGAGATGATACATGTGGAATTGAATACACGTAATTTGTATATTCCTATTTTCATGGTTACAGAACACTGAAGTAGCAAGTAGACTGGTTGATTTCAAATGTAATAGTCCTGCTTTCTGTTTCTAGAAGTGGTTTCCTGTAAACAAGGCTTAGTTTTGTTTACTTCAGATAGTCATATTTCTCTTGTTTTTCTTGCATGATGGAGATGAAATCGCAAAATCTTTCAGAAAATATATGCAGAGCTTCTGACCTTCTATAGCAATAGTCCATCAACAAAAGTGGTGTTAGGAAGAAGATGGAACTCCTTTCTTAAGGAGCTTATATTTAGGGTTTCTACCTTTAGTTTCCTGTGAGATGATTCATGAAAGATGCACTTGTAAGCAGTGCAGCAGGCCAGGTAATGAGGCAGGAAAATACTAAAAGGTTTGACTTTAAGTAAGAAATACTAAACTTGGCATTTTTGTTGTGTCTTTATTGCTTCCTAGGGTACTGTTGGTCTTTTTAAGGGCTGCTTTGCAATATCTTGAGCCCAGATCTAACTACTTTTCATTAATATTACTAACACAGTGATTATTTAGGGTTTCTGAGAAATCTCAGTCTTGACAGTGAGAGAATCCTTTATTTTCCCATATTTTGTTGCAAGGATGGGAAAACAATTCCTGTTTTCCTTTCTGTACATACACATAAAATACATATATATGTGTGTATACAATGCATAAAATAGATGCTTTTAGAATATAATGTATGTACATCGATCACAATTCTTTTGAAGCAGCCAGTTGCATTTTATATTTTAAGTGGAAGACTTTTGTGTAATGATCACTAAATGGAAGTGTAATTTCTTCTTCTGCTACCTGGTGAGGTTGTGTATTACCTGTAAAACATGCAAAAGCAACATAGCAATGAGTCTTGACAACTGGTTTTGTAATTTAATTTGCAGGTTTTGGAGAATGCAGTTTCTAGCTAGATTCTCTTTGAAGGCATTGGAATGTCAAACCATTCATAATAATCTGAGATACATAAATAATCTGACCAAAATGGCGCATTCTGATAGAAAACTGTTCATAAGTTCTAGTTGCTTCATCTTGTTTTTGTAAAAAAAAACAAACAAAAAAAAACCCAACAAAAAACCAAAACCGTAGTATGCAGGTAAAGGGCTCCACCTCCTCACATTCAGTTGGGCTGACACCTGGTGCAGAAGCTCAGGGAATTCATAAGGTTTTAGCTATTGCTGGGTGAAATCTATTTTGGTGTCAGAAGAAACCTCACTGGCTTATGTTCTAGTGTTAAAATATGAGCTCCCCAGTTTACTAGGATAGCTTAGGGAGTGTTTGAGCCTATGTGCCTCTAGTTCCACAGCTTTACAAAGAAAAGTTAATTCAAAAGATGCAGTGCCATCAAAGATGAGTGGATTTCATTGAGGTTTTTAGACACTCTAAACAAGTCTCCTGTGAAAAAGATTTCCTCTGTTGCGTAAGTCAGATGCTTCTTGCTGATATGAACAAACTGGTTCATTTGCCATGGTGGTTTAGGACTGCTTGGATTTTAGCACCTCTTTTTGTTAGAACTGAATCTGTACTAACACAACAAAGCATAATTCCATCCTTCTGGAAGTACTTGTCTTGTTTGAAGAGTGATTTCACAGTGCAAGTGTGAGGTTTGTGGTAAGCGCTACCCTCAGCCCGCTGAGCTGGGAGAACAGGAACTGCTCCTGCTGCTGAGCTTTGGCAGGTACCATGGCACCTGGTGAGGAAAGTTCTCTCTTCCTCTCTCCTTCACAGACCCAGCACATGCAGGTGAATGCCACACTGTGTGGAGCAGTATCACCTACTTCTCTCTCCCTTGCTGTGACCTAGGTCAATACATTTTTTTAACTCTAGTGTTTGATTGCTATTCTAGGAAGAGGTCTTCTGGCAGACTGCTGGCAAATGTCTAATTCACAAGTTTGAAGTGCCCTGTCAAGCTGGTGAAATGACAAATTCTTGCAAGTCTGCCTTTGTGAGTTCCTTTATGCTCTCGGACCATTGCAGTCTACACCAGGACTGTTACCAGTCTATTTTTGACTGCTGTGTCAAAAATACTAGGTGGTGAAAGAAATACTCTGTTTCAGATGGAAGGATGAGCTACATTTTGCTTTTGAAACTTTTTAATATACCCCCCACCTCCTGCCCAGAGTCTCGGAGCTCTCTCATGAAGGCAGAGTGCAGAAGGAAAAGTGCCACTGAGGCTCTATTGATCATTTTCATTAACATCTGAACCTCATGAATCACAGAATCATAGAATATCCTGAGTTTAAAGGAACCCACAAGATTCATCAAGTCCAGGTCCTGGCCTTGCACAGGACACCCCCAAGAATCACACCATGTGCCTGAGAGCATTGTTTAAACTCTTCTTGAGCTCTTGAGGATTGATGCTGTGACCACTTCCCCAGGGAGCCTGTTCCAGTGCTAGACCACCCTCTGGGTGTGAAACCTTTTCCTAATATCCAACTTCAACCTTCCCTGACACAACTTCAGGCATTTCCCTTGAGTCTGCCACAGACAAGAGGTCAGTGTCTGCCCCTCTGCTTCTCTGGGCTGAGTAAGTTTGGGTTGTTCAGCCTGGAGAGCCTTTCTTCAGTTAGGGAGAAATTCTTTACTGTGGGGTGGTGAGACACTGACTTAAGTTGTCCAGAGGAGCTGTGAGTGCCCCTTTTCTACAAGTGCAGGTTGGATGGGGCTTGAAACAACTGGGTCTAGTGGAAGGTGTCCCATGGGGTTGATCATTAAACAGTCTAACAGGGGGATGATCATTAAATCCCTTCAAACTCAGACTGTTAGGTAATTTAGGGGCTGAAGTTTTAATGTCATAAACAAGAAAATTGGTGCATGGTCACTCACGGTAAAGCTATTCTGAAAGTGCTCTCTGAAAATGTCAGCTGTAACTGTCTACCTTTTAACTACCTGCAGCAAGGTAACATTTTCTGAAGTTCATGATTTTTCTGTTGTGGTTTGGTTTGCTTCCATATTCTGAAATTTTACTTGCTCACATGACTTAAAGCAGATTCTAGTCTGCTTGAATGCAGAAACTTTCTCTTATTTTTTTTTGCGAAGAAAACCCTGAAAACCGTCAAGTGGAATTGGTGTAAAACTCACAGAAAATCAGTCTTAATATTTATAAAGGATCTTTTCTTGCTGATGGCTGCTTCAGTATTGATTGGAATATTTTAAATAATGACTGATTGCTGTTTTGCTTTTGAAAACTCGTTGTAGCATTAAGGTATCCTAAAACACTGGTACCACTCGAGAAGCCAGCAGAGGAGGTAGAGTCACCCGAGACGACCAGTGAATTTGGTACAGTAGAAAAAACCCAAATGGAAAAGTGTGTTTGCTGACATGTGCATTGCATAAGGCCAGCAGGCTGCTAGTTTGACAGACTTCCTGCATGCTTGTTTTGATGCATTTGGCATGTATTGCTGCAAGAAATAAAACTACACAGTTTTTGTTTGTGTTCATATAAAGCCTTCAGTCTCAAGAATTTCAGCAATCCACATCTTCAGGTACTTATGCTTAATTTGACCAAGGTGTTGCAAGCACAGGTCTTTTGCAAACTGCTGCACTATACTAGAGTTTCTAGTTAATACTTGACCAAAGATTTCAGATTATGAAGCAGCTTCATTTTTCTGAAGCAGCTCAGTATCAGCTACCTTTTGCTTTTTTTCTTGGAAAGTGATATGCATTAAATTATGGGGTCCAAATATAATGCAGGAATGATGCTATGCCTAAAAAATTTTATTTAGTTAGCTGTGTTTGCCCTTTCCTGCCAAAGGTAAAATAAGATTGCTTCATTTAAAATTTGTTTTGTCTTTTGCATGTGTTTCAGCATGTGATGAATAAAAAATAGGTGTCATGCACAAATATCTTTTATATCAGGAATCAGAAAAAAAAAATCTGACTCTGAAGCCATTGTTCTTCAGCTGTGTCTTTGTAAAATAGTACTTTTTAGAGCTAAAAGGAATATCTGTCTCCCAATAACTCTCCTGTCTATTGCAAAAGCTGCTTTTGATTCAGGGCTTTTTACGAAGATCACATGAAATGCAGCTTTTACTTAGAGTGCAACTTAAACCCTTGAGAGTGATAGATTCAAAACATTTAGATCCCCCTGCAACAGGCACAAATGAAATAGATCATGTGTATTCTGTGAACACAGAGGTACTAGTGTGTAACCTCAATTAAAAGAAAAGGAAGTCTGCCAGTTTCTCTAGGAAAGAAATTATTTAAAGCTGACTCATTCAACTGAAAACTCTTAGCTTTAGTCAGCCTCATT